AGCTAAACAAATTAAGACTGGCCGCCAGAACTGTCAGAAAACATCCCCTTAAAATTTCAGCTTTCTTGCGTCCCAGAACCCCGAGTTATGAATTTACGCGGGAAAAATTTTGGCGGGCGCATGTGCGGGTACCACGCTTACCCGGCGATTGGGTTTGAGCTCATTAGTACCTATTCGGATGGGGATCATTAGCCCAGCCGGGTTTTTGTCATTGCCCATTTTCTAGGCAATTACAATAACTCGGCGCGGCTGATGTTATTTGCAAAGCACTCTAACATCTCTCCTAACACTGTTCCGCGGCGTCGCTCACTGGAACAGCTCGTCACTTTATCAGATGCGCTGAGTAGCGCTGCCCAGTGTCTGGCGGTTGGATCGTGGGACCAGCGGGTGATAGATGGGAGGATTGGATGTGGTTGGGAGGGATTGGTTGGGAATTGCCCGGACACAGCTCAGAGAACGCGACTGAGGCAAGGACAATGGGGAGGGATGAAGTTGCTGGTTAGGAGTTTAGGACAATAAACGGTGACAGTTGTTGGAGGATGTGGGTGCCCCGAAGCGGCTCTGGAGGCACGGATTGGGGACAGGATATAGGAGAAGAAGCGTGCTATTCAGGAGTTCGAAGCAAGAACTGCTGATAATAGTAAAGAGGAAGATAAACCTACACGGTACTGCAACGAAAAGTAAATTAAAACAAGCTTGAATTCGTGAATAAAAAAAGAGCTACTAAACCTCAGCTCGGCTCGGCCCGGCTCGGCTCATCTCCTACACGATTAGCGAAAAATGTTTTCTGTGGACGAAGGGTAGGTTTGCCCGGGTTGCTCGCTGCTAGCACAATGTCTTGTGCTATAGACCACTGTGCTGGCACTGCCAGCGCTGCTGATGGATGTATAGCGAGAAGCAGTATGCTTACAACGGGAAGGGGGTGCATACACAGGCAACTGCAGTGTCTCGCGCTATGCCTACTGTTCCCTTCCAGGTCATCAGGAAAGGAGGTTGGAGGTGTGCTAGGGTTGTGTAACGTATCAGGGTAGGCGCATTTTACAGCCCCTTGAGGTCATCTATACACTTCCTATCCTGGCTACGTCCACATCCTTCCCGTATATAAATCCAGTTTTTATGTGTTTTTGCCGTACAGTGCTAGAGCGCTGCAACAGGCAGCAAAAACGCATATTCACGAAAAACATCAGATTACAGGTAACATGCCCTCACCTGTACCTGGTAGCGGGTCGCATTTACACATTCCTGATTGACTAGTTACCTGGATAAGATGTTGCCCGTTACCGGTATAAGACGCTGCTCGTTACCTGTATGGACCGCCCACCCCCTCGCGCTGTAGCGCTTCTGCTCTTCCTCTCAGCTGTCGCTAGGACCAGTTCTGGTCCGCTCTGTTAGCTGCCACCCCCCTTACCTCGACTGTCCCCCATTCCCTCCCCGCCGCACCCGAGCGCATCTTATTATAAGCAGTTTGCTTGAAGGTGCTTGAGAGGGGGAGCTCCAGATATTCTGGTGCATCGTCACTTCCGCTTCTCGACTAAATACCGTTATTCATCCCCTGGGATGCTTAGGAAGAAAGAGATGGGAGAAGAATGATGATTATGCTAAGGAATGGGTTTAGGTAAGGAAAAAAGAAATAAAGAGCGGTAAAAGAAGAGGAGGCGTTAAAACGTGTATCGCAGCTAAACTTTGCCGTGCGCACTATATATTTGTATGCGCTTTTTGTAGCTATGCAGTGCACAAAACGCATATTGACGAGGGGTTGTCAGTGTGTGTGTGCCTGTTTGCAGCATTTGTCGGAAACACCTTTGCTGATGGCGACTAAAACTCTGCGGAAATATGCAAAAACCACTTCTTCGCACAGTCTGCTCGTGCCTTCGTCTATTCTGCACATATTTCTGCCAACCATACGGCGGTGCATTCCTTTTGTATGAGAAGCACGGACATTCTCAAGTAACCCGAGGGGTAGCAAATCTTCTTGGTGCATTCGCTTTCCAGCACGCACATCCATCACCAGCATTTTCTGCCTCCACCCCGCACTTTCAGCCTACACATTTGCATATCCACTTGCCGCCGGCCACCGCTCCGCGCACCACCACTCCACTGTGCTGCAATTTTAGGCCGGGTAACGTTGCCGCACTTTCATGGCATGTTCCCAAACGATTTTTGACAGGTCCGCACGAAATACTGTTACCAGAGATGCCAGACGACTTCTCAAGCCGCAAAACGCACCGGCCGAGCCAAGTCGAACCGAGCCGAGCCGAGTTGTAGTTGTTGCCAATAAAAGGAAAAAAGCAAAGTCAAAGAATTGGAGCCTGTAACCAAAAGCCAAAAAAGCAAGAGCAAACAAAAACTGAGCTTAGGCGGGTAGAATTTGTCTTACAAAAACCCGTCTTCAGCAAGCGATCCCCACATTCATTAGGTTTATGCTTAGGTGAAGCTGAGGACAAATAAGTCCGATTGGATTATACAAGAATTGCAGATAATCCCACAGTGCTGCCTCTCGCAGTGTGCAATTGTGTGCAACAGTTATACCTTTGTTTTTTTGTGTTCAAAATATCACAGGAGCAAAGGCTGACTTCAACCCCAGGCATCCATTCCATCCTGTTTTTGATCACTTCATGGGACTTGTTTGCTCTCAGCTTTACCTAAGCATCAGTTTCGTAAATAGGGAAGCCTGATGACGAGTTTTTGTGGGTCAGTTTCCGCTAGCAAAACCTCATTTTCTTTTGCTTTTATTCATAAAGTCAGACTTGCTTTAATTTATTTTTATTTGTGCCCGCAATGTTGTCTTTTTCTCTTCATTGCCATCTTCAGTTCTTGCCTCGAGTTCCTGACTTGCATCCTCGTTCCCTTTCTCTACCCTGTCCCAAATCTTGCAAGCAAACAAGACATTGATCCCTCGCCATCCCTACTATAACAACACTGTTCAAGCAAATATTATTTACCTTTCCCTACCCCAGGCATCTAGGGTAAAAGCCAGGAGCATACTTTCTATCCTTTCCGTTCATCACTGCTCCTCCCTCCTCCTAATGTATGTTACTTACTCAACCGGCAAAGAATCTACGCCATTTAGCCCTTATATCCGCCTGTTCTACACCACTCCTTGCCTCGAATGAAACACGCCACATAACCCCTCCACTTCCATCCGCCACATCCAAACTACCGCCGTTCGCCGTGGGGCACCCCTAGCAGCCGCCGCGAGAAAAAATTTTTTGCAACTCGTGTATGAGGCTGGCCGAGCCTAGCCGAGTTACTGCAGTTGCCATTTTTATGCGTTTTTGCTGTGCAGCGCTATAGCAGCCAGCAAAAACGCATATTGTCGAGAGG